AGAAAGAAGGGAAAGGAAAAATGCTGAGAAATGGAAAAAATAGAAATAAAGTCTTTGTAAATAGGGAAGGGTGGAGGGTGTGAAGGGAGGGCTAGGAATGGGGAAAAAATAAGAACCAAGATGCGTCATGTAAAGGCACAAGTTCCCAATGAGAAATGTAATTGTGTTGTATACCTACAATGTACCAATAAAAGAATTTAAGGAAAAAAACATGGTGCTTTATTATCTTCAATCCAATTAAAAATTTTAATTTTAGGAGAGCATGTTATTTTATGTTCTTTTTATCCTTCATAACTAATCATCCATGACTTGTTAGTTCGAATGACAGTGTCCAAAATTTGTTTCTCCCCTCACCCCATAAGCCATCATTGTAATTCTTCCTTTATTGCATATCCAGCTTCTTGTAGTGTCTTTCTTCTGACTTCAAGCTCAGTGATTTTTTGCCCATCAGGGGGAGCTCAGATCTCTTTGAACATTGTTTTTCTTCACTTTACTGTTTCATTTTCTTTAACTGCTAAACTTTCTTTTTCTTTATCAAACATTCACAAATGCCAGTTTATATCACACACTTGTAGACCCTGAGGATACAACAACAAATAAAGGAGACATAAATGTTATGTACCCCCAGCACTTGTGTGCTTGTGGGAAAGGCAGCCATAAACAAGATACTTTTAAAGTACATTTGATGGTGATAAGTGTTAAAGAAAGCAAAAATAAAGCAGAGAAGACAAATAGGATGTGTAATGGGTAGGGAGAATGGTTAATATGTTTTAAGACAATCCTAGGAAAGGCCTCACTAAGAAGAAAGATATTTGAGTAAAGGTCTTAGGCTGAGAAAGCATGAATAACTCAAAGGACATACTAAGCAGAAGGGAGGTAAGTGCAAGGTTCTTCTAGTAGGACAGTATTATATGTGTTTTAAAGAGAAGAAAGGAGTCAGATATGATTGGTGCCAATTAGACAAGGTAGGAGAGAATGGGAGTTGGGGTTGGGCATTTTAGAGAGATGGTGGGTTTGAGCAGAAAGCTTATATGATCTGACTTACGTCTTTATTAGGCTATCTTTAGTTATTGTCTTAAATATAGATTGAAGTGGAAAGGAGAACAAGGTCAGAGATAGGGAAATGAATTAGTGTACTAGTCACTTTTCCATTACTGGGACAAGGATGCCTGACACTTGCAACTTAATGGAGGATAGGTTTTTTTTTTTTTCTTGTGGTTTCAGAAGGTTCAGTCCATGGCTCCAAGGCACAAACAATATGGTGGAAAGGCATAGAAGAGGAAAGCTGCTTAATCCATAGCAGCCAGGAAACAGAAGGTGGAAACCATAGAAGGAAAATACATCTTCCAAGTCATGCCCCCCAGCAACCCACCTTTTCTGACTAGCCCCCACCCCTCCCTGTAGCTGATTAATCCACTTATGATCTAATCTCTAGCGTCCCTGTGATCTAAAAACCTTTCAAAAGCCTCATGTGTAAATACCTGAGACATTTGGAGTACCTTTGACATCTAAACCATAGCAATTAGTAAACTTAGTGAATTCATTTTAGTCTCTGGTTTAAAATATCATCTGTTTACTGAGGACTTCCATGTTCATAATATGTCTGCTTGAGCTTTTTTCTTATAATCTAGATTGATACTTAGCATTTCTGCATTCTTGGTCTACTTTCCCAAGTCACTACATCAGCAGTACTGTTTCTTCAGGACCTGTGACCAACAGACTTGAACATTTTTGATTCCTCTCTTTCATATACCAAATGCAATGCACCAAGCCATTCCTGTTGCTTGTGGTGTTAAAAATACAATTGAATTAGAATGATATCTCACTTCACAGACTTAATTCTTGCCACAGTTCTGGTCGCAAACCGAACCAAATTTCCCCATAAGATCAACATTGAACCTAACCATTGAATTTGGTTTAGTTCTCATCCAATTCAGTTTACTACACACTTGCTTTGATTGACTGATTGCTTGATAAATTGGTTGGTTTTAGTACTGGGGATTGAACTGAGGAACCTTGCCCAGGTTTGGCAAGCACTCCATCACTGAGCACTTGCCCTCTGAGCTTTACCCCCAGCTTTTTTTTTTTTCTTCTTCTTTTTAATTTTCATACTAGGTCTCACTAAGTTGCCCAGGCTGGCCTCAAACTTGCAGTCAGCCTCCTGAGTAGCTGGGATTACAAGTGTGCACCAATGGGCTTAGTTATATCACAAACTTTCTTATTCCTGTCTCCAAAATTAACAAAAGGTAGACTTTTCAGATGGTAACAAGGCTAACATTTATTGAGTGGCACTGGGTGTCAGGCTTATTTTTCGTTTAATACAGCTCTGCAAAAAATAGTAGGTGGTACTGATTTTCATTTTTATACAGTGGTGCACTTACAGTGAGAAGTTAGTAACTTGGCAATGATTATTTAACCAGTAAGTAATAGAGGCAGGATTTAAACCAACGTTTAATGACTCTGAAACCCAATGTTACTCTCGAGGCATCAAGTAGTTGCTGAGTGCTGATATGCTTCTTGACATTAGGAAACCAGAGGTACACAACTGTGTATCTCCTCCCTGATCTCCCTGCCCCAGTAAGACTTCCTCCCAACTTCACTATTACCAGACTTTATTTGGGAGGAAAAAAAATGAATGCCTAGAGAATAGTTGAAGTCTTCAGATCATTGATGTTTTTCTTCTTTACCCAGTACATTAATTTAAAAGAGACTTAGAAAGAGTCCCTTTGCTTGTGTGGCAAAATAAACATGTGTTGTTTTACTTTATCTTTTTTATTTCAGAGTGAGATAATTCGAGACAATACTGGCATTTTGGAATGTGTTAAAGAAGGAATCGGAAGAGTGATAGGCTTGGGAGTGCCTCACAGCAAACGACTCCTTCCTCTTCTTTCCTTGATCTTCCCTACGGTGCTGCATGGAGTTCTCCACTACATCATCAGCTCAATCATTCAGAAGTTTGTCCTACTAATCCTAAAGAGAAAGACTTATAATAGCCACCTAGCGGAGAGCAGTAGCCCTGTGCAGAGTATGTTGGATGCTTATTTTCCAGAACTTATTGCTAACTTTGCTGCCAGTCTTTGCTCTGATGTTATACTCTTCCCGCTGGAAACAGTTTTGCACCGCCTTCACATTCAAGGAACACGCACAATAATTGACAATACAGACCTTGGCTATGAAGTGCTTCCAATTAATACACAGTATGAGGGAATGAGAGACTGTATCAATACCATAAAGCAGGAGGAAGGAGTCCTTGGTTTTTATAAAGGGTTTGGTGCTGTTATAATACAGTACACACTGCATGCAGCTGTCTTACAGATTACCAAAATTATTTACTCTACACTTCTTCAAAATAGCATTTGAAATTTCTATCACTAGTTAGTCCAGAAGATGTAATCTGGATAATTTGCTATGAAATTATAAAGGATGAAAATGAAGTACTGGGAAAAAAAATGGAGTAGAAAGTGAAACTGGTAGAAAAGGTGTCTGTTGATTGAATTCACTCTTCTTTAAAAAAAAAACAAAACGTATTTCAAGTTTAAAAGCTCAATACAGCTAACACTTGTAAGAATAAAATTTTAGCTAGCGTAGCACTCGTACTGAAGTAAAAATGATACTAGGAGAAAGCAAAAATTTGTCATCAAATATAAAATGAAGTTTCATTGAGTTGAATCTGTTCTATCTGACCTTAATATTTGTTATAGTTATTTCATCTTCTAGATTGATACTGGAATATTATCCTTAATGCAGTAGAATATCACTGTATCAGTGAGGTTTTACCTTTAAGCAAATAAATTATGTCACTATTGAAAAGGACTAAAGATCAAATTTGGCCAGCAGTAAGCAGACATTGGGGGGTTTTATATTGCACTGTCTCTATAACTATTTTAGTGGTTGTATATGTGTATTATATAAATCCATTTATGTGCATACACATATATAACTTGGAATTTCCTTTATCCTACAAACTCTCCACTTGTAGATCAGCGTGTTGCATAAAATGAAATCATACACTTTCTGCTTGAACACCAGAGTAAAACATCAAAAAGCCAAGATACCCAAAAGATTTAGTCATTTATAGAATTTATGTCCACATCCAAAGCCAGTACTTTAGTACCAGCCACTTAAAATTCATTATACGTTTATAAAGTTCAGTTTGCTTAGCTACGTAAATTGTCAGTCTGTTTTTAGGGCCACACTTCTAAAAGAATGTAAAATAATCATGCAGCTATTGCTGTTTCCATATTTATAAATTGTGTATTTAAAGAAACCTCATTTGCCTTTCACTTCTGAGTGACTTACCTTAGAAGAGACAAACTTCTGCTGAGGATTTGTGTCTTTTGCCTAGCATGTAGTCATTAAATAACACATTCATTTTGTTTTTCCTCTGTTTTTGCTTAAAGTGTCATTCTCTGAACTAGAAATACTTGAAGAGGAAAACAAGATATCCTTATCATTTTTTCTTTAAATACATTTGGGTGAATACTGAAGAAACAATAGTTCATGCATTTTTGTATAGTTAGGGTGGAGTGTGGGGGAACATTTCAATAAATAATCAAAAAAGAATAATTTAATTAAAAAGAAAATTGTCCCTAAATTTAATTTGATGGGTTTTGCTCTGTATAGCAAAGTGATATGTGTTTGACTGATCCATTATTCAACACTTTAAAGTTTCATTCTTCATGAGGATGATCACAGTTTTATCGTGAACTATTTGGTGCTCTGAGGTGCAGTGACTTTGCGTGGATGTTTCCCCACACAGAATGCATACCAACTGAAATTTGTTACTTGTTAAATGTCACTGAGATGGTTATTTTTGTGATTAACAGTGTTGGAACAAAAAGTTATATGAAAAAAATTGTAAAAACATCATAAAAGTAGCAACTATGTTTACTGTGGTGTGTGTGTTTACTGTAATACATTGTTTTTCATTTTTAAATTTAAATTTCACTAAAAGGGAAAATAAACACATTGATCACATTGTATATTTCAGGGTAATATTTTAAAGTGTGGCTTATTTTGTCCAATGAGGTTTAAATTGTTTTTAATATTTTTAAACTGCAGGATAATTCTTAGATGGTTGTAATTTATTTATCCTCTTAACTCCTCCCTTTTTTTATTTTTTATTTTTTGGAGACAGGGTCTCACTGTGTAGTTCAGGCAGGCCTTGAATTCACTAGCCCAGGCTGGCCTCAAACTCACCACAATTCTCCTGTCTCAGCCTCCCAAGTGCTGGGATTACAGGCGTGCACCACCACGCCCAGCTATAACCCCCACTTTTTAAAAATCAGGTTTCAGAAATAAATAAACCAGGAAACTAATGTTCAGAAAATTTCTAGAATAGAATCTGAATGGAATCAAGTATTATTACAAGTGAAAATTATGTGAAATCCTTCATTGATCTAAATATTAGATTTTTCAGGATTTGTTGAAAGCATGAATATAAAGTTACATAAATTTGTTTCATTATAGAATCATAAGACAGACTGAACCATGCACAAGTAAGGTTGGTCCTATTTTCTGTCTCATTAGAGAATATATCTTTTTTATTTTTGTATTCTTTTATTGGTACATTGTAGGTATACAACACAATTACATTTCTCATTGGGAATTGTACCTTTATATAATGCATCTTGGTTCTTATTTTTTCCCCATTCCTAGCCCTCCCTTCACGCCCTCCACCCTTCCCTATTTACAAAGACTTTATTTCCATTTTTTTCCATGAGAATATAAATTAACATGAAAGCTAAAATTGAAAAGTATAGTAAAATATTAATGTTTTTACTTCTTTTACAAACAAAGTAAAATATCTAAAAATAAAGCACTTCAATTTTAACAGGTCCAATATTTTTTAGTGAATTTAAAAAAGAATAAATAACTACCAGATATTCTTTCTCTCTTTAAAATTGCTATTCTTTAATTTGGGTGCCAAAATCTACTATCCATAGGATACTTTTCTTAAGGTGTTAGATTAGTGTATTCTTAAATTCAGTATGATTAATAACATTGATATGATTCTATTAAGTGGTTCCATAGGCTCAATGGTCCTCTTATTATAACCCAGATTTTAGCCATGGTGCTTAAAATATGCTTCTCTTACATTATGGGGTTCCTTACTTTGAGTAAAATAGCTTGAAAGTGATTGAATTAAAACTGATAAAAACCTATTTTAATTTATGAATCAAGTTATTAAATTATATGCTTTCCTAGGGTATCCTCTATTTTATGGGGGCTTAAAGAAACCTACATTAATATAGTTATTTATCAAGCCTCCAAACATCCAGCATTAGATGTTATAATACTTTTAAAATGAGCTAATTTGGAAAGGATTGTAGATTGGAGTATTTGATACCTTAGGCAATACCTTTAAGACACAAAACTGGAAAAGTAAGAGATCCTGCTCACTTAATGCAGCTGTGCATCATTACAACTCTAGCACTGGCTTTGTTATAACTGTACAAAGCATTCACTTTATTCATTGGGCACAAATGTTTCAATATTTCTATCCAAGTAATTTGTACATCTATTTTGATCTTTTATCAACTGAGATTATGGAATTATTTGCTCTCAGTTTGCTTATAGCTCTTGTGGAACAGAAAAAATTATTCTGCCAGCTTTTGAGAAGATTCAAGTTTTGAATTATTTTGAAAAATTATATAAGTGAAAAAAAATCCTCAGTAACTTCACATTGCACTAGAATTTGTGTAATACTTAATGTATCTCCCTCTCTCTCTGAATGTGTAATGTATTATGTTTTGAGTCATTGAGTATCATTACTGTGGTACCAAGTTGTATAGCAGAGTAACAAAAACTTATGATTTGACAATGAATCTTATTTGATATTGCCTCAGCTCCAGTAGATGTTTTGTTCGGTGTCTTTCTTTTTTAAGTTGTTTTTGTCTCGTTGGGATTTTAAATGTTTGGGGTAGTAATTTGTGTAATATGAAAAGTTCAATAAAATGTTGAATAAAATGAGTATTTTTCTCTTACTGATGTTTGAGGACTGTTGATAAAAGATAAGGTGTATTTTTAAGATAGAAATGAAAATTGAGAAAAATATGTTTGTAAAATTAAGCTTTTTGACCACTATTTTAAAAATCCTGTAACATAAAACCAATGTAACTGATGTGGCTCATGAGAAAAGTTGATGTGGCTCATGAGAAAAGTTGATGTGGCTAACAACATTTCCTAAAATAAGATTTTGTATGCATGTATTTTTGTAAAATTCATAACCATTTCCATATTTTATTTTCACAACAATCCTACAACCTTTTTGGAGGAGTACTATTTGACTAAATGCTGTTTTCGTAAGGAAGAAATAGCTGAAGTTTATGACTTGTACTACATTAAGCAGCTGAGGAAGTACCAGCAACAAAATAGTGAGTAGGCAGCTCCAAAACTCCTGTCCCTCTGTAGAAATAGAACACAAAAACAATCCAGAAACTGCCCAAACCAACATTGTCAGAACCCTGGAAAACAGGTTTATGATACCCAAGTGTCCTCTGGGGGTAAGTGGCCTTACTAGTAGAGAAGCTTTCGAGCATTTCAGCTTGGTTTTGCTCCCATCTCCTCCAGGATTAGTAGCAATCTTGAAAATGGTAGTTCATGTGCCCAGTGTAGGACCTGGTCTTTGGTTCTAGAAGGAATAGAACAGACATTACTCTGTAGAAGGCACTAGAATGATATGCTAGAAATTTAAAAACAATCCTGTTAGACAAGAACTCTATCAAAACTATCCTTTAAGAATGAAGGAGAAATTAAGACATTCCAGACAAAAGCTAAAGGAGTTTCTTACTAGTAGAAATTCCTTCAAGAAATAATAAAGAAGTGCTTTAAACTGCAGAGAAAGGACCATAGTAACACCCGTAAAAATTATGTAAGCATAAAAGCAAATATTACTTTAGTTTTATGATTCCTTTTTCCTATGTAATTTAAAAGGCAAATGCATAAAAATAATGGTAAATCTATTTTAATGGCCATACAATATATAAAGATGTAATGTCAAGAATAGTATAGATAGTGGGTTGGATATATGAGTGGAGTGTATACTATGTACTTAAATTGGTATTATTCAGACATGGTTGTACGCTGAAGGTTAGTTGGAACTCCTGATGTTAACACTGAAAATAAATTTTAAAATATACAGGAAAAGGAAAAAACAACACACTATAAAAAAAAAGCACCTGCTACCAAAAATGAAAAGGAAGTGAGAGTAATGCAGGGATTGTATAAAAAAGATACAGGAAAAAAAGTTAAATGGCAAAAGTCTATGTGTAATTTAAATATAAATGAATTAAAATCTCCAATTAAAAGGCAGATTGATATAATGAATTAATACATCTGTATGATATCTATAAGGCTCAGTTTTAGAAAGACACCAAGTTAAAAGACAAGGATGGTAAAGAATGTTTCATGTAAATAAAAATGGTTGGAGTGTAGCTATATTGCCAGAATCTTGAGGTCAGGATTAGTCTAATATGCTGTTTAAGAGAAAAAACAATATTTAACTTTTTTAGCACTTAGTACAATGTCCAGACCATCAAGAATTTAAATGTTCTTTCATATGACTGTATTCCTCACTTTTCCATCACTGAGACAAAATGCCTGACATATACAATTTAAAGGAGAAAGGGTTTATTTTGGCTCATGGTTCAAGAGGTTTCAGTCCATGATCAACTACTGTAAGTTAAAAAAAAAATCATGGTGGAAGAGTATGGTAGAGGAAAGCTGCCCACTTCATGGTATCCGGAATCAGAGAAGAGCCTGAGAAGAGGGGGCCAGGGATCAGATATAATTGCCAAGGTCACATCCCATGGCCCAATTTCTTCAACTTGACCCCACTTCCTAATAACCCTTTTAACTATGAATTTATCAGTGGGTTGAGTCATTGATGAGTTGTGTCCTCACAGTTCAATCATCAATGTTGGAATCTCTAAATCAAATCAAGTTAAGAATTAAGAGTAACCAGCAGCAACTTTATGACATAGGTGCTAATAATATTTTCATTTTACAGATGCAGGAACTAGATTTCTAGGAGATTCAGGACTGTGTCCAAGATTATACAGTTAGTAAGCCACAGAGCTAGGATCTTATACTTTACTTACCTGTTGTACTGCTAGCCTGGTCAACAGGCCAAAGTTTACCTTGGTTTAAACAGTGGCATTCAACAGATGGACTAAGACAACTACTATTCTCAGTGACTGACAAATTGCTTTTCATCTTAATCTCTATACAATGGAAGGCTTCTGGGAGGTGTTTAGTAGGTTCTTCCACAGTCTTCTCCATTCCTTTCCTGGCTCCAGGTTAAAAGTAATCTCTCTCTTCCTTACCTCTTCAATTCCCCTTTTTCCTTCCCCTTCTCATCCTTCTCTTCTTTCTTGAGATTTATGGACCTTGTAGTTGCCTGTAAATATTTTTTAAGTATCAAAATTTTATACTAGAGATCAGTTTTCTCCCCACTTCCACTATACATAGACAAAAACACAGATGTAAAAAATGGTGAATGAATACATGAATCATAAAATTGTGTACTCATTCTAATCTAAATATTTTGAAAGTTTTCTCTCTGACATGCTAACACTTCTCCCTTTTTCAGTGCTTTCTTTTGCGGATCTTCTGATACTTCCTTGCTATTCAGTCTCAGTGTCCCAAATGTGTCCAATTTGTATTGTAAAAGAATATCACTGAGTTCTGGAGAAGTATAAAAATCATATCTAACGTAATTATGGTAAAAGTTTTTATAGCTCTAGCTATAACTGTAGCACAAAATTATAGGTAATTTTTCACAATTAGTAAAAGGAAACCACCAGAACTTATTAGATTTCACTAAAAACAAACATCAAAGGTGAATACAACATTCTAAATTAAAAATTATGCAGAAAATAGTTAATATAAAACAAATAAACAGATGTACAAATGTATCTCCTGAAAAGAAGAATTGAGAGCTGCTCATGGCATGGTGGACAGGAATCAGAGAGAGAGTGAAGGGAGAAGCCAAAAAGGGAGATATACCCTAATGGGTTATTCCCCCAGTGACCCACCTCTTCTGACCAGATCTTACCTGCTAACCACAAGTTAGCTGTAATGTCTCCATCAACCAATCACCAACAAGAATTGACTGGTTAAAATGACACTTGCCCAAGCAATTCTCAGTATAGTCAGTACAAAAATGAACACACTGCCAAGTGACACTCGGGGTAAATGGTTAAATTCTTAATTTCTAGCAGCTCTCTTCCATCATGGCCCTCTGCTAGGACATCCTGCCTTGGAGCCAACTAACTATGGACTGAAATGAGAGCCAAGATAAACTTCTCCTACCTTAGTTATAGTTGTTGGATATTTTGGGGGGGTATTTTGATGAGTGACTAAGACAGGAGGTAAATATAAAAACTATTTCTGTTACATAATTTTGAGATAATATTTTCTTCCATTACATCCTGAAGCTAAATTAGTTCCTTTACAAGGACATGAAAAGAATCTATTCATGATGGCTCGGAAAAATAACTAACACTACCTAAAATAACACTGGAATATCTACAGTGACATGTATTATGTTTCATACCTAGATGTCCAACCACCCAAGCCTAGTGCACTCACAGGCATGGTTTTGGGGTGTTAATTGGATTGTGGGATTATGATGTTCACCAGAAGATTAGCCAGATATGACGTTGGGAGGTGACACCTGTTCAGAGTAGGTAGGTCTGGAAGATAGGCCTGGAAGGGTCTCTGTCCCTTTCTCCTCCTTTGATCTCTCTCTGCTTCCAGAAACTATGCCATAGCTGTTTCTCCTCTGCATGCCCCTCTGTCTTGCTGCCCTACTCTGGAGCTAGCCAACTACAGACTGAAACCTCTACAAACTGTGAGCCAAAATGAACTTCTCCTTTAAGTTGTAGATGTCAGGTATTGTGTCTCAGTGATGAGGAAGTAACAAAAACATATATCTATGTACACAATATAGCTAAAGAGGGCAACATTTGATAATTATATTAATCAATGTTCTCTATTGAAATACCTTTGAAAACAAAGATAAAATACAAGCCACACATTCTAAGAAAATATTTGCCAATTTGTATAATTTGCCATTTGTATAATTAAGATTGCCCATCCAAAATATACAAATAAATCTTAAAGTTCAACAGTAAGAAAAAATTTTTAAAACTTTAAAATAGACAGAGTCTGAGCAGACACCTAGACACCTCATCAGTTATATACAGACAATAATGAGCATATGTAAAGATGCTAAACATCATAAATCATTACAGAATTGTAATAAATCATTACAGAATTGAAAATTAAATCAACAATAAAATATCATCAGAAAAACCTACTAGAATGGCTTAAATACCAAGACCTGACAACGTCAAATGCTGACAAGGTTGTCAATCAACAGTAGCTCTCCCATTACTGGTGCAACCATTCTGAAAGATACTTGAACAGTTCTTTACAGAACCAAACAAAGTCTTACACCATCCAGTAGTCACACTCCTAGGTATTTACCCTTTGGTTGAAAAATTATGTGCAAACAAATATCTACACTGGAACGATTATACCAGCTTTATTTGTAGCTGTCCAAACTTGCAAGGAGCAGAGATGCTCATTAGTAAATGAATGCACAAATTGTGGTAATCCAGACAATAGAATGTAATTATTTATCTTTAAAATGAGCTACTGACTGAAACAAAGATAAAGAGAAATCTTATTACATACTCAGTGAAACAAATCCATCTGAAAAGGCTACATGTTGTATGATTGTAATTCTATGACATTGCAGAAGAGGGAAAAATTTTAAATATAGTAAAAAGATCAGTGATTGTCTGAAGGTTGAAAGTGGGAAGTTAGATAAGGATAAGTAAAATAAGCACAGGAAATTTTAAGGGCAATAAAACTGTGGTATGATACTGTAATTTGTATTGCACCGTTCATTTGGAATAGCAGAGAATAAACCTTAATTTATACTTTAGACTTTGGTTAATAATATATTAATGATATG